CACTAGAAATATTGTGAGTCCCAGGAACAGTTATCCATAGACCATGTGGAAAATCAGCTCTACTGGCATCTTTACTGAGAGATAAAGGCATAACTACATTAAATAATCAAAGCTAGAGCAGAGTTTGGAATCCTTTTAGAAAGAGCTTTGAATCTCAAGACACAACAAGCTTGCATTGGTGGTCCAAAAAGTAGGAGAGGTAAAGACTTGTAATAACTTGAAAGGAAGAACTGCTGACTTGGTTGAATCAGAATTGGTGGGGTATATTTTGACCTCTGTCCTTTCCTCTTTCTTTGACCTTGGTGATGTCACTTTGCTGCTAATCTTCTGTGCCACTTTGTGAAACACAACCATGGTGACTTTTAAAAAGCACTTTGCTAACTGGCATGAACACCCTCAGAAAAATCTTCAATGCAGTGCAAATAACAAACATGTTTTGCTGAGATAGTAAAAAAGAAAATCAAATATGCTTTTGCTATTTCTCCACAGTGTTAATTACTGGCTTTATTCCTATAGTAATGTTGGCTAGGACTAACATTGACAGACCAACTTTGTTATTTACACTACTTCACTAAAACCAACAGGACTGTCCCTTTTTGATCCTAAGCATTATATGCCATGAGCTTTTCTCTTGCCAGAAATAAGTGTTGAATAACAGATGAGAGGTAAAAGAACAGGGAAATTTTAAGAGCTATTCTAAGTGCGGTGATGTTGACTTCAGTGGGCATTCCTAGCTGGTTTTTTTTCCTATAGCTCAGCATTTAGATTATTTATAGATATTATTATTATTAATGGATACTATTATTTTATTACTATATTTAGATTATTTATATTTAACATTTAGACTACTTATAGCTGCTTTCACATTGGGAAAGGCCTACTAAGGACTGCATAAACATATGCTCAATGGCTCACCAACATGCAGCTGAAGAAGGAAAAGCTGGAAATATCACCAGATGAAGAGAAGCAGCAGCAGCCACTGAGGATTCTGTCAGATTAATAAGATTAATTTTCATATGGAATAACTTTAATCCCTTAAATTCCCAAAATAAAAAGAAAAATACTTATCTCCTCACACAGCAGAAAAAATTTAGTTTCCTAATTTTTTTTTTCTCTCATGTGACTGATAGATGAGTTGGTAATGCCATTGGAACACTTGTCTATCAGACTTACTGCCAGCTGAACTCAGACTCAACAAAATAATTTCAGGGTCTCTAAAACTAAATCACAGGTGTACAATTCATTCTGTAATGACCTTTCCGTATTCACTTCCTGATTGCATCCCCAAAGCAATAAAACAAGCAGCCCACAGAAACTCCAAGATTTACAATAAATCTTCCTCAAACAAACATGGTACTAAACATACAGAGCACTTTTCCTACACTCTAAACGTATTAGCATTAAATGTAAAGATATGAAAATGTAAAGAAGAAAAAAAAGTAAGGAAAACTTTAGAACAGAATAGATTTCCTTCTTTTAACCAAAAAAGATGGATAACAGACAATTGATTTGGAGTGCTTCTTGATGAGGAGTATCTCAAGAAAGAGATACCTACTGGAACCTTGAAATTATCACCTGAAGTTCAGTTCAGATGAACTAAACTGAAGTTATCTCCCAAAGTAATCAAAACCCTATGGTCTTTATTACACTACCAGAAATGCTGACAACTATTCTGAGCATTGTTTTGGTACATACTATCAGAGTCCACCAAGCTGCAATAGTTTAAATCAAAACAGGATTTTTTTTTCCCAAATCCTTATATAATGGGGTAATTCTCAGACTTGCATTAGAGCGCCCACTTGATATGTTCAAAATATAATGTGACCTGCTTAAAAGATTCATCATGAAGTACTGTCCTTATGCATTCTGTGCCTGCCTAAATATAAGCAGACATCCGACAACAAGGCACTCTCTGATTTTCTTCTATTCTAGTCTAAAAGTCGATTTTAAATAAGGCAATCCTGCTCTTTCCCACTGCCTTATCTTGTTCCCTAACTCTCAAACTAACTCATTTTGCAGCTTCAGATGCACAGTGTATATCCCAGCTGGTGCTTGAAGGCAAGATGAGATGTACAAGAATCACGATCTATTACTCAACGTAGGCAGTACCAATCAGTAGATCAATACAGCTGATGCTCCCATGTCATCTCTACAGTGCTTATAGATGTTTAGTATATGTAAAAAATGTGTCTGCAAGAATCCTTTCAAAGTTCTTGCAAGCAGAAGCTCTTTCCTCACCACAGAGATATCACCGCCTGTCACCTGGTGGGTGGTAACTTGTGCAAAGAAAATGCTACATCCTTGTAATTCTACAGGCACAAAGCTAACGAGATGACCTGCTCTCCATTATCCACACTAATTGAGAAAACTAAGTTCATCAGAAAAACAGACAATATGCAAGCTATATATTAATCAGGATGCAATAATATACTTAGTCCACTAATCTTTACAAAACTAATAAAAAGCCTTCCACAGGAAACAGCAGAAAAATTTCTAAGATGCTTATTATATATAAGAGAAAAGGGATTTCAGCAATGCAGTGACAGAGTAATCAAGAAATACATGACTTAGCCAGCTCAAAGTTGTTTATCCTACAATCCCTTATCCCCATAAAAAAGCTCCACCATTGTCATAATCTAATATTTATTATGGTTGTTCTGTAGATACACTCAGAAAAGAACATGTATTTCAGATGTTTAAAATAGTATATATTCTTTTAAATTCCTCTTCAACCACACAGCACAGAACAAAGAACTCCATTTTGTTTAATAAACAGCTGTTGCAATATGTCTAGCCCATACCCGAGGTTACTAATTTATCCTACTTCAAAAGAGAAAAACAAACCAATAATTTCTCCTTAAAGTATCTTAAGTCCTTTCCTCCAGTACCAGCTCCTACATTTGTTTAGTTTCCCAAATGTAATACTGCTTGCTTCAGCCTTAGATTCTGGGATAGAATTTTCCTATACCCATAATTTCTCTACTAGATCTGATGCTATCTTTGTCACGACCACCATGTAAATTCTCCATCTTACCCCTTCAAACACAGAACATCTCTGAATCCTTTCAGAGACATTCCCAGTCATCCTTCCTTTTTCTTTACTATTGCTTCCTCCCAAATGAGGGAAATTACAGTAATACATGTAGCAACTTGTCACTGACCATTCACAGTGCAGCACAATTATACTCTGCTGATTCATTGTGACAAGAGACATTTACTCTTGCTGTTGACAGTCCAGATATTTTCTAGCATCCATATCTGTTTGGATGGCGCACTGGGTGTCCCTCTGGTTGGGCTGATTCTCTTGTTGATGCTTTTCCCTTTTACAACTATAAGTCTCTGGTCTGAATAAAACAGTGAAGTACTAGAAGCAAACAGATTTTTATCTTAAAAATAACTTTCATTCTAAACCTCAAAAATGTTCAACTAGCGCTTAGCAAGGAAATCTTAATGGCCTGTTAACAAAATAAGCAAGTAAATATTTTCTTAGGTAAGGAGGAAAGGCACAACACTGAAAGGCAATTATTTCATCTTCACAGATGCAGCCACACATTCATTAACTAAGCAAATCATTCCTTAATTTTACAGCATTTATCAACATGCCCATATATTTGCCATCTGTAAGGGAAGGGTTTAGATAGCAGGAAGTCTTTATCAACATTAAGATTGCCCTACTCTAACAAAATGGGAAACTTTGTTACTATAAGAACAATACTGTAGAAACTAACTTGAAGGCTCTTATAGTTCCTATTTGCAAACTCACCAACCAGAACTAATAATATTTTTTTTACTCTTTCACAACCAAGTAAATTCATGGTCGCAACGTTTGAGGCCAAAAACACATAGGAAGGTAGTGCAAGGCCTGGAAATTTACAGCATTGCAATGCTTAGTGCTAGTGAATCTATTTAAAATATTAAAATTCGCATCTGTCAGACCTCTTTGCTAATGCCCCTGCCCTCAAAGCAAAAGGGAACGTATGCCTGCATCCCAGCCATCCAGTTCATAAAGCTTCTTATTAACTCAAGCCATAAATGACAATGAGTTCACACTAACATACCAATCTAAACCACCACAGCCAACACTCAGGTCCATGTTTGCTCTTGCCATCTAGACAAAGACAAGCAGAGAGAAAGGCTAAACACCAGCATACAGGCATCAGGAAAGGAGATTATCTTTAAACCACTGCAGCACTTTGCTCCCGCACTCATAAATAATGTTCTACGTGTGCTTGATTTTGAGAAGTTAAAGTTTGTGAAAAGAGACACACTACAAGAACAACACCCAAGCAACACATAGTAATGCTGTCAGTATTACAGAGCAGCCGAAATCACCGTGATTTACACAAACCTAACCACCAAAGTTGAGTCCCCCTTGCTCTCTAATGGGTGAGCTGTACCATGTAAAGCACCACAAATATCAGCTAAGTCCTGGGTGTACAAGGACATTTTATTCAAGTGAGTTAATGTTTCTGTCAACACCAGCTCTATGATGGATAAAGAGAAGATCCAATTCAGCTGGGATGAGTTAAATCTCCCAAGAGAAAAACAGGCTTGCATCTATTCTATACAGCAAAATCTAGCAAGTATAATGAAAGCTTAGGAGCATTTACCTTTACAAAGAAGCATTTATTCTTCCAAAAAGTGAAAGAATAATACACATTTTAAATTCAATAAGGCTTTTTAACATACAGAAGTCTACTGAAATGCCAATAAAACCTAGACACTATATGAATATGAACTACTAGCAAAGCATGCTTCATTCACAGTTGCTTTTGCATCCAATCATTTAAGTTGCTTCTACAGAGTGAAAGCATTTACATGTTTCCTGTGATCTGAAGCATTATACTGTATAAAAATAAACCCTTCTGGGATTGAATTAGAGGATACAGTGGTTCACAAGAAAGGGTCACTAAATGAACATTACTCCCCTCTTTTCTTTGTATGATTTTTTCCCCAAAACCATATCCCAGCACCCTGACTGTTCACCGTGTAGCACTTACTGTTGCTGGACTTGAGGTCACGGTGAATTATGGGTACAATTGCTTCCTCGTGCAGGTAGTTCATTCCCCTGGCAATCTGCACTGCCCAATTCACCAGTATGTCAGGAGGTATCCTTTTACCAGACAACACCCTATTGAGCGATCCTCCGCGGGCAAACTCCATGATCAGGCAAAGATTAGGTTCCTTCAGACACACGCCCCTGAGGGCAATGATGTTGGGATGTTTCAACATCGCAAAGAGCTTGGCCTCTTGGCGGACATTCTCAATGGTCTGGCTGATGTCCTCATCAGGGTCATAGCGAGCTGCCTTGACAGCAACCTCATCTCCTATCCATACAGCTCGATACACTTTTCCGAAGCCCCCTATGCCAATGATTTCTTCCAGAACAAGCTCTGAGAAGTCGATCTCTAGGACTAGGGAAAAAGGAAAAAAAAGATGTAAGCATTTAGCAACTACGCAGCCTGTATATCAGCTGAAGGTGCGTGCTGGGCAACCTCACCCTTTCCCTTGGAGGAAGGGCCAATTTTCACTCCAAAACAATACAAAGGAAAGCAGTGGGCCTTTCTGTCAACCTTTTAGTGCCGAATAGTATGGTAAAACAGATCATGCAGTGTCATAAGACCTGACATAAATAGTAAAAGATAAATAGTAAAACAATAAAATAGCCTCCTCTAACCACAGTTAAATCCTTATAATACTGATGCTCCTGCCCCTACCCCTACTCCCCTTAAGGATAAGCTCTCAGTGACAGTACAATATTATGAAAATGAAAAACACACTCACCAACTAATCTTCACTGTGTTAACAATACAGTGCTTAATGTAAAATAGCTAAAACTCAACACAAAACACATCTGCTTCTCCATTTGTCCCTTATTTTGAGTGTTTCTTGTTGAACTGCCATGACAATCTTTTAGTCCTTCCCAAATCGCACTTATTCTTCCACACCTCTCCAGGCTTTGCAGATTTGTTCCCCACAAGAGATCTGTTAACCAGTTCTGATGTTACCAACAACAGTGTGACAAACAGATGGATCAAACCACATACTAAGTGTACAGAGCAAGCAATAAGAAAAATATTTCTTGGTTAATGCATACTGTATTTTTGTTACAAAAACTTCCTAGTCCCATACACTGACAGCTACACTTTACAGACTGACACAGTGACTCGTGGCTAATTGACATCATATAGGAAAAAAAAATAGAGAGATGCAGCTGTCTCAATTCAGCACACAAATCGCACCTGGAGCAAAAGCAAGGAGAAAATGTATCCTGTACAGCTGCACACTAAACACAGTTTATATGGGTGGCCAAAAGAACCCATCCAACACTGACTAATGTAGAATGAAAATTCCACATACTGACTGACAAAAACGTGTTGACACAGTTTAATTCACAGCAGTGATAGGCTACTACTGATGCTACTCTGTCTGACATTTGCATGGTTACCAATTACAGTCAATGAAATTTTTAAAAGTTTTAAAGGAAGAGTAATGCAAGATTTAAAGAAAAAGTCACCGAGTCTTTCTTGCATTTGAAATGCCAAATCTGACATGGTTCCCCTGCTTTGTCTAGTAGGACATTAGACAGGAAATTAAGTTTGTAAGGGAGCAGGTTAGATCCCACTTAAATAAACTAGTCTCTTTATACAAATTAAATTCCTTTCCTATGTATAAGCCTATAGTATAAGACTGTGACAAAACCCTAGGGAGTTACTAAAAACTCTTCTGTCCACAGCTGCAGGCTTTTATTTTGTCTGAGCGCTACCTTTCCTGAATATGATTCTTAGAAGTTGGCTTCCTATTGTAAGTTACTCAAGCCTATGAGTTAGTTTAAAAAGGATGCCTTTGCTGCTTTTCCTAGAGTTCCATGAACAAAAGATTAATGGAAACAAGACAGAAAACTGACCAAGAAAGTCTGCCAGAAGGAGAAAAGATCTCTCCCAGGCCAGAATACAAAGAGTATTTTTCTGCTACTGTGAATACATATTTTGGGTAACACTCTGAGCTTCAAGGATTTGCACAACAAAGAAGATTTCAGTACTACAATAGCAACCTTGGTGTTCAAATGCTTGAGACAGAGATTACTAGAAAACATGAAAGGAATAGATTCTGACCAGAATTAAAACAAGACTATAATGACAATAACTCCAGACGTGAGACTACCCTGTCACTGAGAATACACGAAGAGTCACTCTTGTACTTCTCACTAATAAAAGACCTAAAGAAATCAGATGTTGAGTCCTATCTCTTCAATCAATAGAATTTCAGCACTCTTAGAATCCTCAATTAACCCGTCACCTAAAAGACTGAAAATGAACAAACACACACCCCACAACGCCAGGGTGACTGCCTGCCCTGCCAACTCTGGACAGACAGCATTCAGGTGCTGTTCGCAGCGGGTGTTCTGCTCGGGCATTTCACGGATTAAGAGGACATCAACGAGGAGCTGAGCGAGCCGCCCGCGGGCCCGCAGGTGCTGAAGGGACAGCTCCGGCGGCAGCGGGGACGGGACGGGACCGGGACGGGACAGCCCCAAGGGCAGCGCCTCGGCCTTCCCCCCTCCACCCGCCCCGATGCTGGGAAAAAGCGCCATAGGAAGGTGGCAGGCAGGAGAAGAAAATGGGCAAAGGAAACCGAAGGGCTGGAAAGTAGAGCACTTCGTGTGCCGCCATCAGAAAAAGCACATCCCTCCTGGAGACACAAATTAATAGGGGTGGGATGTAAAACCGAGACACTTCAGCTTTCATATAAAATCTAATGTGTGACATTGAATGTTCTTTTATCTGGAAGTAAGACCTTAGTTTAGTTTGAAAATGTGTATTTCTATATGGCAAACTGACCAGCTCACCCTCGTGGGTAGGTAGCTTCTTCAAAAAAAAACTAATTAAAAAATAAAAAATAAAAAATGTTGTTCAGGGTTTTTAAGAGGTATTTTCTGCTGAATGAGTTTATTAATTTTCATAGTTTGAGTTATACAGCTATGTTAGGGCACAAAACACTTGTTTTTCTTCACATTTCTAAACTAACTCTGGTGTCATTTGGCAGATGTGCAGGATTCAAGAACTGAAGTGCTGTCATTCCTCTGTGGCCAGTAAAGAATTACAGAGCCTGTACACCATGAACCAGTGGCCATGTTGATAACTGTAAAGTAGGTGCTGTTTAATCAGTCCTTATTAGACCATATAATTAAACTGTTCAATTCAGTCTGAAGTGTTTAAGAGCCCACAGCACAGATAAGAGTCACTCAAGTTGGCCCACTCCTGGCAGCCTCTACAGGCTTTTATCATTCACGATATCCTCACCAAAGCAAGACTGAAGCAGTACATGCTTGATGGCTAAAATTACTAGCTCAACTATTACAGCTCTCAGTAGAACCAGAATCTCTAAGACTTATACTTCCAGATTTTCATTGAATATATAGATCAACTTTAGGAAAGCAAATAAAAATAGGTTCTCTGCCAATGTGCATGTTCAGAACGCCACTTTGCATCACTCCCGCAAAACTGGACTTACTGGATTATGAAGTATTAAACAGTAGACAGTAATTCCTATTCCAAACAGCTATCAAACTAACCTCATCAACTCTAAAAGTGGATAGCGTTCCTTGCAAAGGATTTCTAATACTCAACTTGAAAATCCAATTCAATGGCAACCAATTTTAACTCCTGTCGAAACAGCATTGTTTCTTTTAAAGAAACCCATACTGCTTAAGCATTATACAAACCTCTGGAGGGCAATAAATTCTACTTTGTCATGAACATATGGTTGGTGACTTGACAGAGGAGAAGTAGTGGAGCTTTGCTGAGGTACGGGAAGAGTAAGGCAAAGACGAAGGGGGAAGGTACAACTCCACAATTGTTTGTGAACTATCAAAGCATGGCAGCAAGACAGGAGAATCCACAGTTACACAGCCTATACATGGACACTCAAAACAGAATGGAAGCTGAGGGTTCAAAAAGGTGTCTTAGAACTAGTTCTCCATAGAAATGGCTCTTTTAGGTATCTCAAAAGCAAAACCTAATAAGCATTAATCCACAGCTTTTTCTGTGTGTGGGGGAAAAAAAATAACTTACATGCATGAAAAATAACTTACTTGCAGCATGAAAGAAAGGAACAGCACCTACTCCTTTCACGAGCCCAAGGGCAATGCTACAAATTACTGAGTTTTACCTAAATACTTTCAAGCAGAATACAAAGTAAGACAAAAAGCTATTAGTTCTATTCCTTGGAGATATGGCCTAGATAGGACAAAGCATCTTTCCACTCCTTTATTTTCTAGAAAAGCCTACTAGTCTGAAGATTTTTCTCTGCCCCTCCAAAAAAAAGCACCTTGCCTGAATTGCCAATGGTGATAAACAAGATCTAGAAAGTCATTCCATGCTGTTTCTCTTTCCACATTGTACACAGAGACTAAAAAAATGTAGAGATGAAACAGCCCTATTCTCCATCTCCAACAAAGGCTTTGATACTGCACTGAAATTCAGGGAAACAAACCAATGCCTCAGTGCCTTCAGCATCACAACATTGTCAAATGACCCTCAGGCAGGCCCAGATATCCAAACATGGATACAATTCATTCACAGGTATTTTAGGACAGAATTTGTAAGAGAGCAGAAGAACCTGGTAGCACAAGTCAATTTAGGACTTTTTCAGTCAGAAATAATAAGATTTTAGTTAGTAAGTAGGGTAAGACTGATCAAGTATTAGCAGTGAATCAACACTTCAGAAAACAACTGCTTCCCTTCTGGCAACATTTCTTTAAGAATATTCTTAAAGGCAGAATGACCAGAGCCCTGGTGACTCCACTACTGCCCAGCCGCTAGGATTCTGTCGCTTGATGAAAATTTATCAGCCCCTGGAAACACAGGTCCTAACAATGGGAAACTGCTCCCGGCGTCGCTGAAACGCTAACACACTGAGGGAGGCTCTGCCTCCCAGGGAGCGGCGCGCTAGCCTGGAACACAGAAGGGCACTGGAGCAGCAGGAATACCTCCGCGGGTGGGAATGGGAACACACCGGGGCCTGCGGAGGCCCCAGGGCGGGGGAGACTGAGACGCTGTAGCCCCTCCGCTCGCTGCCGAAGGCCATCGCAGGCCCCCCGCCGCCGGCTGGGCCCGCGGCCTCCCACGGCCGCTGGCCACCGGGATGGGCCTTCCCTTCCCCCTCAGCGGCAGCACCGGCTTCCAACAGGACCCAGTCGGACCGGGCCAGGCCTCCCCTCAGGCACACCGGGTGGGCCGAGCCTCGGCTCGCCCACAACCTCGGCAGTTCCGCCGGTCTCGTCCCCGCTCCTTTACCCACCCCAAGCCCGCGGTAGGGGGGCAGGACCGAGCCTCTCCCCTGGCCCCCTCCCTCTCGGCGGAGTGGCCGCGCCGAGCCCCCGGGCGCGGGCTCCCTTACGCTGTATGGCGGGGGGCGGCGGGTATCGGGCGCGCAGCTCCGGGCCGCCCCCCTGCACGCCGCTGCTCACGTAGTTGCTGGGGAAGATGCCGACGCGCTGGTCGATCTTGCCCGTCCACCAGCCCTCGTCGCCGGACACGTGTGAGTCCCGGGACAGCACCTGCACCACGTCCCCCGGCCGCAGGCTCAGCTCGTCCTCGCCGCACGCCTCGTATTCGAAGACAGCCGTCCAGAGAGGCCCGTCGCCCGGCGGCTCCCCGCCGCCCGCGCCCTCCTGGCTGAGCTCGGTGAGGGGCTCCATGGCGAGGCTGCTCCATAGGGGGAGGCGCCCGCGGCAGCCGGGCGCTGCGGGGGACGGCGGGGCCGGGACCGCCGCCTATTGTTCATGCGGCCCGGTGCCCGCCGGCACCAGGTGCTGCCGCCGCTGCCGGGGCTTCCCGGCGCGGGGCCTCCTCAGCCCAGCGCGGGCAGGGGCGAGACCAGGCAGCGTGTGCCGTGGAGGAGCCGCCGCATCCCCCCCATCCGCCGCCTCCTCCGCACCCGCCTCCGCCTCCTGCCGCCGCCGCCGCGCATCCCGGAGCCACCTGACTCTCTGGCAGCCTCGGCGGCGCGAGGGGAGGGCAGGAAAAGCCCCGCCCCCGCGCCGCCATTGGCCACCGCCGCCGCCAGTCAGCACCGCCCTCACCTGATTGAGGGTCCGCGCCCCCTTGGCCGCGCCCCCTCCCCGCCCGGCCCCCGGGCCCGGAGTCGCGCACTCACCGGTGCGCCTCCGATTGGCCCCCGCCTGCTCAGCTCTCGCTTCCCATTGGGCCGCGCGCTCCGAGCTCCGCCTTCTCCACGGCTTCTCATTGGCTGGGGAAAGGGGCATGACACGGGCCGAGGGCGGGGTGGGGCGGGGCGGGCCGAGGGCGGAGCGGGCGGGCGCCACCTGGTGGCGGGCGGCGGCGGCGCCCCCCGGGGCCGGCCCGAGCCCGGGATCCCCCCGGCCCCGGCGGGACCGCGCTGCCGGGCCCGGAGCGCCGCAACCGGGCAGCGTCTCTGTTTGCTCCTAGGCCTCGGTCTGCCATAACCGGCCCAAACTTATGCACGGGTGTTAGATGGTTTCTGCACGAGGTTATCGTGGGTGTATCCCTGCTGAATGCCTTTGTTAAAAACTAACAGAATTTACTTCTCACTCTCGCAATCAGCTTGTTAGCCGCTCGATCGTGAAAATCCAAATTCCTTCTCCCTGCTACCGCGTTTTCACAGCTTGTGGAGACACCAGATCTTGTCAATGGAATTTGTTTGCATTTGGTGATATTACTGGGAGATTTTCTTTGCATTTTCACTCCATTCTTTTATTTTTTTAAATACTCATTTGAATTTCAGTGGTAAAACTGGAAATGAAAATTCTATGTTCATGCTTCATCATAACAACTGTTATCATCACCACTGTCAATCACCACTGTTGCCAAATGAGAAGCCCAAGTACCCTGACCACACCTGATGTCTTCCCACTAATACATAAAGTGTAGGGCTTAGTTACTCTTTAGTGTTTAGTAAATGCAATTACACAATTCTTCTGCAAGATGGAGAGATTTTTTTAAAAAATCTCCATCCCCTAGTGAGGCCTTTGATTTGGTTTATGTACAGAGTAGCTGCTAGTAATTCTTTAATTTTGTGAGTCAGGGTTTTGTCTATTTATCCTTGCATTAGCATTATGCTGTAGCATCTTTATAGGGAGCACCAGGGTTTAGGCTTTTAATAGGATGATTAAGATCTTAAACATAACATGCTCTGAGTTCATTCAAAATCCTTATCATTCTTTGTAAAATATTTGAATTTACTTAAATTTTCTCTGGGAATACACCACCACTCAAAACTGAACCTTAGTAACAAATATTACAGAGAACCCTACTGGGGACTACAATTATTCTATCTTCTCTCTTTCCCCCCCCAAACTTCTGAGCCTTTATTTCTCACAGAAACCAAACCAACATGGTCTAGAAAGAGCTGATATATTAGTTTCCTTATTTTACAGATAGAGAGCAAAACATGTATAGTTGAGGTCAGAACTAACATTTCACTGTGACGTATGCAAGATTTAGGCACGCTCCAGCACAAGCTTTCAATGGAACTTGTCTAAGAACTGAGCTTTAGGTTTTCTCCTCTCTCTCCATTGCCTCTTGTCAGTGAGGGCAGAACTGAGGATGCATCCTCTCCACGATTCCCTTGTTACTTAAGGAGGTGTTTTCACAATTAGTGTAAGCTTATCCAATACTACTGTTGCTGAAAGGGACTTTCCTGCCCCTTGTCACATGCTTGACCTGCTTTCCTGATTGGAACTGTAGTGACTGTGTGGCTGTGGAGTCATTTCAGCTCATTTATCTAGCTGAAAGCTAAGCCTCTGAATAAAAGCAGCTAGCTTTCAATCAGCTTTTTAGATTGATCTGACTTGCATTAGGACTGTACACACAGATGTTAAAACCAGCACAAGGAAGCACCACAGGTGAAAGGGACAGCCACCTGTCTTTTTCAACAGCATCCCAGCTTTAGGTTACCTTGTCTTGATCATGAAGACAAGGGGTAACAAATAGCTGTATTCATGGTTTTTAGAGTTCAAATAATAGATGACTGAGATGGAATATGAAGGACTGCTGTTAATGTTCCTAGTTAAAGTAATTGCAGTTGCATGCAATAATTTTCTCTCTAATTTTATGTAGGAAAAAGAAAATATTTCTTTAAGTCACACAGTGAGAAATTGTTATGCTTTATGTGAATATGGTGCTTTAAATGTTGTAATTTAAAAAATGTGAGTAAGACATAAGAAAATAAAGGCCTCCTGTCTTTCAGCTGTTTGCCACTTATTTTGATCACTGCTATAGAGCTCTGATAGATTTAAAGTAGAGTTATATTACTGATGGTGAAAACTATCATAGGAAAAAAATTGCTATTGTAGAGGCTCCAGCTGCCTGCTGTAGTGACCTGCCAAGACAGAATCCTGCCATCTTGTGGAATGCCTTGATATCAGAGTACACAGCTTTGCTTTTAAAATACACCTTCTTTTTTTGTTCTTGTTTGGGTTTTTTTAATTTTTTTTATTTTATATTTTTTTATTTTTTATTTCCCATGATTATATGTTTATTTCTGCAGAAGTGGAGTGACTGGCTCAGGAAGCCGCTTGTGTCTGGACCTGGGAGAGTGTCCAGGGAAATACTCTGAAGAGCCATCATAGGATTTTCCCACTCTCACAGACTTCTCTTGGCATCTCTTACCAGACATGTCAGAGACTGGTTTTTGAACAAAAAGATCTGGCCAGATTGGGTAGGCTGTTCTTAGCATCAAGGTAAATAGAACTGTCAGTAAATGTTAAATTCATATTCCAATAATTGGCAAAAGGTAGATGAAAAGAATGTTAAAGACTGTCTGTGTGCAGTCTTTAAAAGATGACATTTTAGCATTGGCAAAATACAGAAAGATTTTTGAAATGGTGCATGCCTTTTGGATGAACATATAGCCCAAATCCTATATTGAAAGTTTCTTCTTATGCATTTTCAAATAAGAAATGTAGATAAGATAATAGATGAGAACTGTATCTGTTCCCATTATTATTCAGCAAACCTGAATAATGGAAATTAGATTCTAGACATAACAGATCCAGTTCTTAAAGTCTGTATTTGAATACACACTCTTCACTTTCTAAAGTTTTGTCATGGATTCTGTTATAATGTGTTTCAAAAGAAGATGCAGATGATACCCTGAATTTAGTTCAAACTTTCTTCAAACTGAGAACTTGCCAAAGCTTTTAATTCAGGTTCATTTTTGCATCTACATTTTAAAAGTACTAACTAATTATTAGAGGGTAAACAAAAAAGCCCATCTATTGGCCTGTCTTTGTTTTAAGAAGCAATGGAAAGTATTCTGCTTATTCAGTATCATTATTAATACAAATCTAGGATTCTGATCTCAGATTTTGTCCTATGTTTTCTAGAGGCTTGTGCAGACTACCACTGGACTTTTCAGCTCTAAAACTTATTAAAACTTGGCAGTCCATAGTTATAAATCTACACTGGATACCAAAATGTTGGCAGTCTAGGCTTCTAGTATCTGTGATCTGTAAAGGAAAAAAAAATAGAATGGTATTAAAAAACAAAAGGAAGAAGAATGTCAAGAAAAAAAAGGAAAGACTGCTGGCACAATCCAACTACACCACAGTACTAGAAACATACTGTAATTCCAACTATAGCTATAGAGATGACAGCACATCTCTACCAGCACTGTAAGAAAATATAAAAGATTAAGGAGATGCCCCTTGGCACACCTTATTGCAGCTCACTCCTTTTAAATCCTGTGGTAATTTATATTGCATATTAAATTAACCCAGCACTCTCATTTGGCTTTTATACATTTCAGAGGATATACCACAGATGTGTTCCATGCCAGTATCCCCAGATACAGCCATATATGCCACTCTGGAGATGAATCTCACTCCAGTAGCCAGGTTTGATCAATTGCTGATAATTTCTACTCAAACAACGTAAGCTTTACTGACAAATGGATTATTCTATCATTAAAAATTGCCTCTCTACATTGCTGTAAAGCTGGACTGGCTTTTTTTCCCCCACTTTAGAACAGTACTGCTCTGACAACATCACTTTAGTGTAGGTTTGTTCTTGATGAGGGGGAGAGGGGTAAGCCACTGGCAACAGAAGCTTTATGAACTGTGCTGTGCTAGCTAAGAGGCAGGCTGCAAATCTGGGTCTTCAGCATCTGAGTCAGTAAAGAGAGAGCTCTACTCTGCTTCATAAAATATATATGCTAATCTCCCAGATGGTTATATGTTCTTTCTCCATAAAACAGATGACCTGGAAAAATAAAAGCCTAAAAACACTGAAGAGTGAGAATTCTGGGCCAAAATCTGGAAGCTTGCAGTAGATTTTAGCAGACAGGCTTGGATTTTAAATTTAGTATGGATCTGGTTTCATAACAAAATATAGCAATGGCTATTATTATAGGTCACAGCATAATTTCACATGCAACATGAATAATTTATACATCTGCATCCCTCTAAGAAAAATATTACAAAGGACACTTTCAAGTGAGATTTCTGTCTGTACTATAAGATTACACACCTAACAGAAGTAATGGTTAACTTTAGCTTAGTAATGATTAACATTTGCACACTGTGTATTACCTCAATCCAAGCCACACATACAGCTCTTGTTTAATTAGTTATAGACTGAGTTGCTGCTCCTGTAAGGGAATATCGGAGCTATGCTGCCACACTGGCAGCATTGTGCCACAGTTTCGCAAATGTGCGGA